TGCAAAGCGTTTGAGTGAGATGGTGAGCACATTGGCGCTGCGATGGATTGTGAATCTTTTTGAGGCCGTTACCATTTTTTTGCACCTGAAGGAAACAAACATTCAGCTTGTTGACAAAAAAAATCACACCTAAACACTAAAACTCATCATGGTTTCGCATCTCTTTGACTTACTTGGTGCATTTGTAAGCATTTTCGCCATCCAGCTGTTCTGGCTTGACAAACTGCTCCAGAGCTTTGGAGACATTTGGAGCAGTCTATATGAACAGAGAGAGAGAGAGGAAAAACCTCACACTCCATAATGCAGAGAATACATAGTAGCAACGTCACTTTGAATGTTGTCCAATTACCTTAATTTCCAGAGTGATATCCAGAAAAGGGTCAAATGTATCTGAGACAGCTTTGCAGTTTAAACATTTAACTGAAACAGAAATCAGTGCTATGAGTATCACACAAGCTGTAAGACATAAAAAGACAAATAAAAGAAAAATAAATCAAACCTTAAAAAACAGTGACTTACCTCTGGATCTTAGGTACCCGCCAAACACTTGATGGATGAAAGAGGTTGCCTGCGTTTGCCTGTCCAATCTATAATAAAAAGATAAAGCACAAAAGTTAACTAATAAGGACAGTGCAACAATTAACTGACCATTTATTTTTAGCATTTTGGAACCAGACGATCACTTTACAGTATTCAAGTAGCAGAAAAGACAATAGGAGGAATTGGAGCACGATTAATTACTTAAGAGGCCATCTGCTGCTACACGGGAAGAATTGATTTGATGAGAATTGACACTTTAGGTTCTTAAAAAAAATAAATGAATTAATAAATTATTTTTAGGAGTCTAACAAGAAGCACAACACTCAGCCCAGTGCATCTGTTAAACGTGTAGTTTTGGTTAAATGTGCACATAGACTTTGAAGCTCTATAGTAACACATAGAAAAACCTGGAATTTCTGAATTTTGCTGCTGCAATAATAGCACTAATGCCATTAGGGTGAATAAGAGATGACCTGAGGGGTTGAGTGCTCCTGCTCACACTGCTTACCCTGTTGCCTCAGAAGAAATCTATACTAGACACTAAGACTGGCAGCTCTCCCCCATAATCCCAGACACCTGTTTTACTGTTTAAGCCGCTTCTGATCTTTTCAAGCCCTGTTACCAAAACAAGCTACCACACCCAGTGTAAGAATACTTTCTGTGTTGGAGCAGTCAAGTTCATTAAAAAACTTGATATAATAATGAGGTATTATATCAAGTGGCTTGCCTAGTATGTAAACTGAGGTGTCAGTCAGGCAAGAGACTGAGGAATCTGCATTTCTGAAAAATACTCTCAGCAATTGAAGCATTAATAGTTAAAACGAACTAGTATAAACTGCACTTCCTGAAAAACAGGATAAAGGATTTATTTCATATTCTCCTACTGTCACGGTGTTACCTCTACGTAGCTAATTATGGATCTTACTACATAATAAAGTGCAAACACTGTCAAGCCCAAGTAAAAATATTTTTGTGTGTTTAATTTGTTTAGAATGCATGCAATGTAAAATGACACTCACTTGGTTCCAGGTAAGCAGGACTTTTGCATAGCATCCACTGTGCACCGCAGGAATTCATGAGCATCTTCCTGGCTTCCATAGCGGAAGTGCTTTGCAATCCCTGGGTGAGGAGAACGAGGAAAAACAGAACCAAAAAACAAAGCAGGAGGTGAATTATTGTAAAGTATACCACAGTTAAATGCAAGTTTACACTTATTTAAAAACAGAATTCAAAATCCCTCCAGATTATTTCCCTCCAAAATTACAAAAGGTAAACAGTCACACAGCGCCTCCTATCATTAAAATATAGATAAACACTTCGCACAGAACACAGCATCAACAGTCATCCACTTACACCCAAGCTCATTGAGTACACCAATGGGCTTAATGACATTCCCAGAGTTGGCAAAAACCTGAATGATGTGGTTTTGCATGGTACACATCATACAGAACCCTGGCTCATGACCTGCAGCAGAGACAGAGACAAAATACTGAGTGAGTAAGGAGTGATACAATGTGAGAATCAGCGCAGGACTGCATAACACCACTGTTGGTGAAATAAACTTACATGTTTTGGAGTGCTCCCGCGTCAGCATGTAGTTTGCTAAAGGAGGGGTGTAGCTGAGACACTGCAGGGCTGAGTTGAGGAAGCAGGTGTTCCCCATGTTCTGGAGGCCTGCACCAATGAGGTGAACCTGGGCCCACTTTAGGCTGAGCCGATCTGGTGAGAACAGCACCTTCTGGGGCAAGTCAATTCCATCGCTACTGCTCATCACTGACACACAGAGCCACAATTATTACTAAAAATCTGTTTCAATACATTTTAAAAAGGACATAATTTAATGCTACCTTACTTATACAACCACACACTGGCACATGGCAAAGTCATGTCAGGACATCACAGTAATAGCTACAACTATTAACAGTTATATAATGTGATTCTGGCCACTGTGAACAACTCCTAAACAGGCTCAGGAAGAAAGACGGGACAGTTTGCCTTCTCCTTTGTTTCTGCTAAACAAGTTGGGCTGCCGGTCTTTATATAAAAACAGCCATTGCATCACGAGCTGAAATGACTGATCATGCAAAGCTGGATGCATTACATAACTGGATGAATGAACGGAGAAGGGAAGCAGCAACACAACACCCACAAAAACAGTTGTCAAACTTGTGTGAAAGCAGAAGCAAAAAGATTAGCTGTATGTTACTAAAACCAATTCTGACAAATATGGGTAAATAATGGCTAAAAAGTGTGCTTCCATATTTGCTAAAACAGGTTGGAAAACTATTCTGTCTGACAATAAAAATCTTCAAACAGCTTAAAAAGACATTTTGAAAAAAAGCCAGGCTTTGCTCTGACCTTGGTCCTTGGGCCGGTCCACAGAGGAGGGTGTACTGTTGTACACAGCAGCTCCAGGAGTGGGGGCCAGGCAGCCTACTGGAGCCTTGAGCCTTGGAGAGTCACTAGGTACAGTGGGGCCCACTGCCCAGCTGCTGGAACAACTGCCGTCCATCCCCACGTCTCCACTGGTGAAGGAGGGTCGGTTACATCCGGCTGACTCGTGGTCAGACTTTTCTGAAGATCCGTCAACTATGGTCATTGTTCATAGCTGCATTAGGAACAAAGACACATACGTTTATGAACTGAAAAAAAAAAAAAAAAAAACAAAGTCGTTGCTAGGTTTGAATTTTCTTATTTTTATTTTGTAAAAAGGGAAAGAAAACGTAAATACTACATCAATCCTACACTGGTTAGGTAGCAGTACAGTGAGTTTGGACAACAACTACTAAATACAAAAGCCACATTAACAGATTATACCCAATTTCGCTGTGCAAGAAACTGCACAATAATAATAAAAAGCTCTAAGTCTCTTATAGCTTATAGTTAAGTAAGGCTATATTAAACACTGCCCTCATACCATCGCCTAAACTTTCAGCAAACAAGTATCAGAAATTGTGTTAGATTGGATGATTTGTTTACATTCACAAACAGACTAGCATAAGTGAGCGCCAAATATTTGTTTTTGACCCTTTGCTTTTACTTGAATCATCAGATTCCTTTTAAATAACAAACACCAGGAGACAAGAGTAACTTTCGACATCTAATTTAACTCTGTCCAACTAACAAACTTAAAATATCGACAAAAATTAGTGTTTAGAAAACTCAAGAGGGGAAATGCCAGATAACCCACTCGACCGAGGAAATTTCCAAGTCGGAAGCACGTTTACAACAGAAGCAGCTGTTCCCTCCCACCTGCTCTTACAGAGTGGCTCACATTGGCTAAATGACGGCTGCTAGGCCTTTAACGCGCAGCGTCGCAAAACCTCAAGAAAACACACAAAAAAACCTGAGCACATCAGACGGAGAGCAAGTTGAGAGCTTACCAGTCTTGTCGAATTCCGAGATGTAATGACGCGCACTTAAAGAAGATGCAAAAACCATCGAAACGCCGAACGCAACGTAGCTATCGAACTGTGCTAGCATTTTGTGCGGCTAGCTAGCTTGCCTACTTGCTAGCTAGCACAAGACTATGGACGCTGGCTGACATGACGCAGAGAAGCGTAGTTATGGACCAGCAAGCTGACGGGTAGTTTCCTGGCTGTGCGGTGACATTTATTTTATTTAAAAATGTGTGGACTGGGCAACGGGGCGTCTAGCTAGAGGAGAAAGGAGGGGCTCGACGCCGGCGCTTGTGTATGATCACTGCGCTGCTCTCTCCGACACGACATAGAGAACCGGTGTAAGCTTACTACAACAAATCTCAGCGGCTCACGCCTACCAAAATATTACGGGCTCACAGTTAAAGTGGCACTTGATCGTAAAGGCAATACAACACTCACCTGTAACCTGTTATGATCGCGTTAGTAGAGGTTGTAAATCCATTCCTTATTTCTAGCGGGTGTCCGGCGGTGAACAATGACGTAGCTAATTGCCCCACGGGTACATCCGGGTACCTGGGATGAAACAAGGCCTCTGATAGGTTCCTAAAATCGTCAAACGTTCCTAGTGAATATCCGGCGCATGTACATACCTCTAAACTTTGTGTACATGGTGTACCACCCCACAGTATGAGCTCTATAGCTTTATCGTGATTATAGAAGTGGTCCAGATTTAATTATTTTACTAAAACAAAAACTATGTAGAAATGCTATTTTCCCTATATTATTGGGTGCTCCCAGCATTTTAACGTTTGAAAGCTATTGAAACATAACAGAGCGCACCCCCTGTATCTCATTTTAAACAAATCTCAAACATATATGCAGGAAATATAGAAACCCCTCATCATGTAAATACGATAAGTGCCTATGTTTTCAGAAAAAAGAAAGAATGACAGGACTTATTGTGTCAAACAGTAAAGACTACACCTTGAACTCTCAGGATAAACTAAACTATTCTGCTGCTCAGTTCTGCTTAAACATCGACTTGTCAAACTCATAATATAAATCATAGATTTTAAAGAAATACCTCAAATGATTTTAAGTGACACGGTGCTTTGCAGAAACTCTGCCGAATATATTAGAAATAATTTTTATTAAACTGCTCAATGAAGAAAAGTATTTGCAATCCAGATGCATGAGACACACTAAAATATTAAAACATACAAACACACTAATTTGCACTAAGCTAGCAACTTTTTTTTTTTTTTCTCAAAGGCTCAGGTGTTTTCCAGCTCGGAGAAATTAACTGTGAGTTGTGAAGTCTGGAGCTGAGTGATCCGTCTCCTCAGCTGCATGATCTCTTCTTCCTGCTCTTCAACCCTCCTCTGCAAACTGTGGATCACCTGAGGGTGAGGAATATTCTTAAAACTGGATTGGAATTATTATGAAAACAAAAACCTCAACAACTTCAAACAGTAAAACATAATCCACTCTTTACATGAGTAACTTTTATTTACTTTGTTTCCTTAAGTAAAGAAAGAAATAGTCTTTTAATTACACCATACCTTGTCTTTACTGCAGAAGAGTTCACTCTGTAGAAGCTGGCTGGCTATGGGACGAACACTGGGTTCTTTATCTGTGAGATTCATGATGTATTTTGTCAGAACTGGCCATCTGTGGCAGAACGAGTCAGGGATTTTCCCTTCCCTCAGGTCCCCAAGTGTCCGGACCCGCTCCATTTCGGTACCAAAAGGCTGGAATAGCTCGAGAGCCAGCACTCCGATGCTGTACATGTCAGACTGAGTGAGCAGCAAATGAAGATTCATGTTCAGCACAGTTGTTAAAAGACAACAGAAAAAAATAATTAATTCTAATAAAATGTTACCATTTCTAATCATAAATTGCTAACACTTCAGAATGATTTTTACATGAAAAGAAAACATGAATTATTAATAAGTAAGGCGGTCCATTACCTTTGAATTATAATTGGAGCCCTTCAGTTGTTCTGGTGCAGCATACACAAATGTGCCAACACCTGAAGTATGGCTGCAATCTTGAAAACACCAGCAATGTCATTAAATAGCAAACGCTGCCATCTACTGGTGGTTCTGAAACATGCCATGTTATGTGGGTAAACTCTTACCGCTGTAAGGAGAAGTGTTGCTTTTGAGTCCATCCGCTATGATGTCCCTGCAGGCCAAGCCAAAGTCCCCAATCCGAACATGACAATCATGGCCGTGAAGAAAAATGTTCCTTGGCTGTGGGGAGAAAAAAAAAGGTTATAATTAAGTTCCATATGTCACTAAGGACACAGATTCTTTTATGTGAAATCTGCAATACAATAAAGACAAAAACTAAACATTCTTATGATTTGAGAGAATAACTTTACATAAAATGTGCAATATTTTTTCTTAAATTTTTTTCCACATAAAGGCTCTGATGGGAAAATACATTGAATAATAAATCCAGTCTGTCCCAGTGAACAAAAAGAATATATAAATAAGCAATTAAATGCAATAGAAAGCATATTTTTAATAATGGGATTATTTATACTGTATTTTGTTTTTTCCATTACTTTTCAATTGTATTCATTTTTTATTTACGTTATTTGTCGTGACTTCACCTACATTTTCTCCCCATTTATTTCCCTGAACTTACTGATTTATGAGATTGCTAGACAACTGGGGCACTTGCTCAGTCTAGCTAAAGATAACTTAAAATGGAAAAATAAAAGGAGAAAGTAAAAATATGAAAATAAAATCGAAGGTAACCAAACATGGTCAATTGTTTTTCAATTTCATCCCCCCACAGTCATCAAGATTTAACTTTAAGTACAGGTAAATAAAAGGTAACTATGTGATGCAAACACAGTTAGTTGCAGGAACGGATGCAGCAAGCCCCCAAAATTGGCCCCGAGTGCAGCAACAAGTTATCAGTTCAGACAGGAAGGCTGCACATCAAAGTTAGAAAAACACCAACCACAGAAAACAGAAGTAGCTTTCGACTTCCCTTCCGTAAAGTATTGCTTCCTGATGTCTTTCTATGAAAAACATCAGTGAATTTGCAGCACTTGACTATGCTGGAGGAGCACAAGGAGTGTTTGGATAAGAGAGGTAGCATTAGCAAAATTCACAGCAATGAATATTACACAGCAGTCATGGAAGAGGACTTGCAACGCATTGAAGACTTGATTGAGAAACATGGGAGCAATTTCCTCATTGAGCCACAAGGCAAAGTATATAAAGAAGCTTTCTGCAAGGTAAATGCAACAATGCTACCATCTTATACAATATGCAAGGATCTTTATATGCTTGCAAGCAAGTCTCACTTCACAGAAACAAAGAAAGAAAACAACTTTGATAGCAAATAAATGTCAACTGTTTATAGGCAAACAAGAAACTTAAATTTATGATTATTCCATTTCTTCTTCACTCGTTTTTCCCGGTAGGGCTTTGCTATTCTTCCCCTTCACCTGGCTGCCTCTTACAGAAAAATCCAAAGCATGCAGAGTCTTCTGTCTGCAGGAGCAGACACTGAATTGAGGTATGGATGTAAGCACTAAAACCTGACATCTAACTCAGGTAGAATCACCTAATACTTCCTGAAGCATTTGATCATCATACAATTATTTTATAGGGGGTTGAGAACAAGAAAAATAATGTACTTTCTGTTAAAAGTCTTCTGTTCTCCATGTCTTCACCTTTACCTCTGTCACAGAGATATGCTTGGTCGAACCCCGCTGCACTTGGTGATAATTGGTTGGCCAAGCATCCTGAATACGTCCCAAAAACCAGATTCCAAGTTCCAGACTAAAGTGATCGGTGTGTGTACAAAGGCAGAGGCCTGTTTAAGGCTCCTCTGTGACCATGGTGTAAACATCAATGCTAAGGCGAGTTTTCCATGTAGGCAAATAGATGTCTAGCTGCTTCTTACAATCTCCTAACTTTGATGTTCAACGTGCAAAAGGGCTACCAACAACGTCAAAGTCAGCATACTGTAATAAGTCTGTGGAAGTAAATTCTGCTTTAAGATAAATACTGGTTAAATTGTGGTTCATCTGTAGGTGGAGAGAAAAGGCCACCAGACAGCTCTTCACATATCAGTACGCTACAGAGCACTATCTGCTGTCCAAATACTGGCGTGCTATGGTGCCGATGTTAATGCTATGGATGGCAGTGGGATGGCACCTCTGCATATGGCTGCTGGGATACTGCATAAGAATATTATTGCCAGTCTGCTCAGGCATGGTGCAAATGTTAACATGGTTTGTATTGTTTGAGAATTTGACATTCAGTATTATGTTTGTTTGTTGTTGTTTTTTTTATCAACTGTGCTTTATGGATAATAAGACATAGGAAAAGTTAATTATAACTGTCAACACCAACTTATCATTAATTAAATATTTACTTACAATCTTAATTACATACTCACTCAATTATATATGCTGTGGTTATAAAAAGCCCCTTCCCATCCAAAAGCATGGATCAAGTTTGTAAAGATGCACAATGGCAGCATGTGATTCAGTTTTCCTTTAACCTTTCTGCTCTCAACACTGTTGAAATATCTTGTGTCCTTCAACAAGTCTGCATTATTCTTTTTAATAGGGAGTGCAGCACACTGGGAACACCCCTCTACACCTCGCTGCCGTGGCAATGGCTACAAAGACCACTAAAACCCCAGAAGACGCCATTAGCAGCATCACTGAGCTGCTCGAACAAGGCGCGGAGCCCAATGCAGTGAACAACGCTGGCATGACACCTTTACACGAGGCATGTAGCATGGGAAACGAGGAGCTCGTAGACCTGCTGCTGAGCTACGGAGCTAGCATCTATAAGCTAAGCGAAGCAGGGGAGAACTGTCTGTACCTTTTCCTGAACAACATGCCTAATGTGAAAAATGTTTCTCTGCTAGTGAAGCTCCTCAGCCTGACCTCACCGCTTACTGTCTACAACCAAAAAGGCCACCTGCCCTTAACCTTAACAAAACCATGTTTCTTTAAACAGAGAGACTACCTCATGAACCTAACTCGACAGCCAAGGAGACTTCAGGATATTTGTAAGAGTGACATTTATCTAACACACGTCAGAGGCAAGAAAGAAGAAATGAGGAAAATCCTTCCTGACAAGCTGTACGAATTTATCTTCAACCATTGGGAGAATGTACACAACATCTCCTTTGTGACAGACAGTGAACAGGAATATGTAAAATAATAATTTCATATTACTCCAACCTGACACCAGTTCAAACTCCACCTGACTTTAAACGTTTGCATCAAACTGCTGACTAACCTTAAAGTAACAGAGGTGTGGATGAAAGAAAGAAAAGAGAAATCATACCTTCAGGTCCCTGTGCATGATTCCATTGGAGTGAATGTACTCCACACCTTCAAGTATGTGTCTTAGCAGTCTGAGCGTGTGTTCAGTATCAACACAGGCATAAGGACCTGAAAACAGAAAATACATCTATTTATTCCCCTCCCCCAAAAAGATTTTCTATCTCAGAATATCCCTAAAAATATTATCTGCATATATTATAAGCAACATGAAGCTCTGGGCTGTAAGTAATCTGAAATAAACATGGATGTTTAACTGAGCAATTACATCTTGAGATTTGTTCCTCTTTGGGCTTGGCGTTCCTCTCAGAGATCCAGTCTTTTAGGGAGCGCTCACATAGTTGCATCTGGATATAAAGCATCAGGTGGAAGTGCACCTGCAGATACGCCATAACAGAAAAGTTACATCCTCTGCTTTTCTTTTTTTGCAATAAAGAAAAAGAAAAAACTCCTATTGCTCATTTCCACCTTCATGTCTATTATTTATTATAATTTATGGGCTTTACTAGCGTTGCTTTGCAAGCCTATATAAAATTATCTTAAACTAGGTATACCCTTTCAGTTTATTCTCTGATAGGAATGCACTGTTCGAGAGCAGTGTGCTGGAGATGATCATATTACTGATATTCAATCTCACTGACATCCGTGTGAAAACTGTGAAAAATTATAAAAATAAAATAATTATAAATATTATAATTTAGATCAGTCTGAAGCCTGAACTTATGACTTCTACATACACTTACCTCAGTATCTGAAATTAGTTTAATTAGCTTTTTTAAATCCAAGAAAGTTTGGGGTTTCTTGTTGTTGTTTTTTTTTAAATCACCTACCTCTTTAGAAGGCCTCGTTGGACGCTTCTCAGTCCACTGATGACACTCCTTGTCAATGCAGGAGTTGTTGTTTAGTTCCATGCTACTCCTACTGGACTCCTCATCCAAAACTGCTGAAGCGTCCCAACCCATGGCAGGACACTTGGAGGCCTTAATGGGACCTTGCTGTCCCAGAAAAACACAAGGGACATAGTTCTCTGGGATGCGACGCATCGTCTTGGGACACACCACTTGTCCCTCCTGGGTGGGAACTAAGGCTTTTATAGGCTGCGTGTCTCTCTGAGGTACTTTGGCACTTGAAGCAGTCTCTGCGGGTGTTTGACTGTGGCTCTGAAAAACTATAGAGGAACTGCTGCTGTTCTTCTCCCCACTTTCATCAAGGCTGTAAATGAAAGAGTCGAGACAGACTTAGTGCAAGTTCACAAACTAATTACTAGTGCTGCCTGTACATGCCTCGAGATATCTAGTCATTCACTAGCAGAGATCAGATTACTTTTTTCGAGTAACGAGTAAAGTAAGGGATTACTATTGCAAAAACGGTAATTAGATTACCGTTACTTTCCCGTAGGAACGCTGCGTTACTGCGTTACTACAACCGTGATTTTTTTTCGAGAATGTCTCATGACAGTGACGTAAGCAAGTGCGACGTTCGTGACAACAGCTGTGTGCAGATCAACAGTGGATCATATATCGAGTGCGGGAGAGAGTATGAGCGTGCAGCGTTTAAAGCGTGGAAGTACTGACCTTACTTTAAGTTTGATTAATAGGGACTGAACGATTATGGAAAATAATCTAATTGCGATTTTTTGCCCCAATATTGCGATTGCGATGCGATATGCGATTATTTTTTAAGGTCTTTGTCTTCTGTATTATTAAACAAAGACAAGCAATACATCATATAGTATGGCCAATACTATATTACATTAATTTTAAACTGTTCTTTCCTGGAAGACAGACCTCTGTTATGATGACATGAGGTGATGCATGAATTGATGACTGACATTTTTATTTAACTTCTTCAATCACAACAGTATATTTGAACATACACAATAGTTTATTTTTAGCTTACAAACATCTGAGCATAAAGTGCTGACAAGGAACCCTGGTGTAAACATTAAAATGAAAGTCAGTACAATGTGCAGATTGCAGAAATATACATAAAAAAAATCAGTGGCTTTACCACACTCAGTTTTTCGACATCTGTGAACTACTAGACAGTCATTCAATTAAAAAATAATATTAAATAAATAAAACTAATAAATAAAAAATACACACATCTTACTGATCTCTGCAGTCAGTAACATTACACATAAAGTGCAAACATAATAGCAATTGTATAAACACACACACAAACACGCCTTTAAAATTTAAAGGCGTGAAATTGGACGGTCTAGCCTGTTCTGATTAGCGTCACCGCTGTCTCGGTGGAGTTTAATAAACTCGGCCGTCTGCTTCTTGCTATCTAAAATATAACCAGACACTGGTGTAAATTCTCGACTGTCTCATACTTCTGTTTAATAAGTTTTCTGTTTGACGTTTAGTCAGCTGTGTGAAAACCAAGGAGGAACCCACCCGGGGGATTAATAAAGTTTTATTTTATCTAATCTAATAACTTTAATCTCAGCCAAACCGATTTACTCACGAACAAACAAAACACTGAAAAAAGCCCAACAATAACATTTTTAGGTTGTCTAAGTGACTTATATATTACGTTTAACCCGAGCAGCGAAACTCCGCGGTGATCTGAAAATGATGTGCCGGGAGTTGTGCCGTTCTCGGCCGCATCAGTAACCCTCGAGCTCCCGGCTAGCTGTCGAGCTGGTGGGTAGCAGACGCCTCTGAAAACGTCGAAGCACTTTTGCAAATATGGGATATCTTGATAAACCGAGCAGATATTTGATGTTTACACAACTACTTTCTCGCCTGAAAATATGTTAAAAGTTTATTTTGTGACCCAGAAAGATTAGTATGAGTAATTTTAAAACTTAGTAGCGGCCGCCATTGCTGGAAACTGGAGTTTGGCTGGGCCGCGCTATGAATTCTGGGATATGGTAGTAATTTGGACAGCCTTCGGCGCGTCGCTGTGACGTAATCGGTCTACAAATGCGGCCTCAGGAGGATGCAGCCCATGAATTTGGACATGTCCAGAGTATAATCGCAGCCTTTGCGGTTAGAAAATTGCACTTGATCATGTCGCGATATTATCGCAAATGCGATATATCGTTCAGCCCTAATAAAAAGTGACAAAAACATTAGTGTCCGTTGTGCGTGGGAAGAAAACTTCTTTTTACAGCGAAAAAACCCCCTAAACTTCAAATCAAATCAAATCAAATCAAATCACTTTTATTGTCACATCACATGTGCAGGTACATTGGTACAGTACATGTGAGTGAGCTTCCAAGCAAGCTCCGAGTGCGCTACCACGTAATGGGAAATTCACAGAGAAACTGCCGTATCCTTCCACTGACCGCTGCGGCACACCTGCACCAGGGTAAACCTCCGCCTACCCCTCCTGCTTTACAGGTGAAAATAGAGCAAAAGGACCGCTAGTCTTTGACTTTATTTATTTTCTGCTGTGTTTTACTTGCATCTATTTGAAAGAGTGAGTGTAAACACAAAAAAAAATTTTATGTGCTGGAATGTGCAGAAAATAGGTTTAAATGATTAAACAATTTCTTCCAGTCAGAGAATGTTGCATATAATTAATTTTTGCTTGATGCATAAAGTTAAAAGATTAAAACTGAATAAAACAAGTTTTAAAAAGGGACTTTTCCATTTGATTACATTTTGTATGATGTAGAAAAAGTAGAATTGGGCTGAGAGATCTATCGCTTTATCACCTATTCAGGTTGTAAATCGTGTTTTTAAAAAGTAACTAAGTAACTAAGTAATTAATTACTTTTGAAAATAAGTAATCAGTAAAGTAACAGGATTACTTTTTTGGGGAAGTAATCAGTAATTAGTTACTGATTACTTTTTTCAAGTAACTTGACCAACACTGTTCACTAGTCACACAGACTTTATGCCAAGACCTGCAATAAATAGCCCACCTTTAATGGTATTTCTACACATAATCAAGAATAATGTTACTTGTGCTCTGAATTGAAGTCAGCAATTCATCCAAAGTGTTCCACTTCAAGGTAATTTTACAAAAGCAGGAGAAAATTATTAGTTTTGTCAAAATTTTCCCAAATGCTTTTAAACACAACAAGTCAGAAACCTAGTACATAAAGAAATCAACATAGGGTTTCTAGGATAAACATACATAATGTATGTGTTCCCAAAAAAACATTTACAAAAATCCAGATTTCTTTCAGAAAAAAAAAAAGAAAAAGAAAACAACATTATCAGACTCCTGAAAAACTGACCTTTTTATTGAGCCATAGCACAAACCATTGCTGTGCAATGATGTAACTCTGTAATACTCAAAGCTTGTAAAATCAAGTTAAATCTAAGGGTTATCTTCTAATTTACACAGTTAAAACTTCAGCAAGAGTTTTAGCTGTCACATGAGAAAGCATTATGCCAAAGACAAATAAAATCAGTTTAGACTTGAGAAAAGAATTGTTGATGCTTACCAATAAGGAGATGGCTATAAAAAATTATCACAGCATTTTCAAGCGTCAAGAACTGGAGTGAAAAGCATCACCAAGAAATATAAGGAGAGTCACACAGTAAAGAACGAGCCTGGTAGAGGTAGAAAGTGAAAGATCTCAAAGACTGTGGAAAGAAAACTAGAGGGAGACGTGTCTAAAGACCCCAAAACAACTGCCAAGACACCAATGAATGACTTAGCCATGTCGGGAATGGTAGACTTCAAGAAGTAATCCAATAGAGCCATACACAGGAATGGACTGTGAGGTTGCAGCCCAAGAAAAACTCAACTTCTGCATTAGAGACACCTTCAAGTCAGACTGAAGTATGCTAAGGACAACCTCAGAGATGCTGATTATGTTTCAAGAAAGAAGGGAGAGGCACACATTATAAAGAACACAATCCCCACAGAGAGAGACACCATGGTGGGACAATTTCTCTGTTTAACAACACTTGTGAAATAATGAAAAAAAAAGACATTTTCCCAGGGAGTTTAATAATGTCGTTCATAATTTGTATAGCCTATACTTGTAAAACATTTACATAGGCCACAAATGGAGTTATTTACTCGCACACAAAACAATGCTACTGAACTGCCTCAAATATCTGGTTTGTAATCCAGTCTTTTCTTCTGTTACCTATGCTACTATGTAACACATTGGCAAGATGCCTACTTGGTAGCTACTTTAAGCACCTGAGTCAACTAAATCCAGATGGCAACGTTCCAACAAGAGGAGGAAAGTGTGACAGTAATATGGTTAACATTATGTTTGCTTCTCTCCCATATGCCTTTGTTCACACTACCGGTAACAAAATTTTAGTCAAGCAATATTCCCAATAAATCTGTTCTCATTTATACAGGTAGATTTTTCTGTTTCTGTTCACAGACAACATAAAAATGAAACAGTCAAACAAACTCTGCTCACTGAGACAAATTTAAACCAGAAGCCATGTGCCAATTTGCTGCTCATAACTAAAACCCTTAATATAACAGTAATGTGGTCTGAAAAAATAACTATTAATATAATCAGCTAAAGATTACATAAGTGCTGTTTTTTTGTTTTGTTAGGTTTTTTAAAAATTGTATAAAAACTGCACAGAGAGGACATTAGAAGCAAGAGGAAACCTTTCTGCTTATTTTAAATTGTTGTCTTTTTAGTAACCACTGACAAAAAGTTACTTTTGGCTAGTCCCTAAAGGGTTACAATGGGTAGCTCAGCATCTAATTTAGAACACCCGCCCATGGCATTTGTGTCTCCTCCTAGGATTAAAACCAGGAATCCTTTGTTGTTAGGAAAACGTTAAACCGTTATACTGTGGAAATATCGTGTCAACTGACCAGTCGGAACACATTAGGGATTCAGGAAGGGAGCAAACAAACAGCATTGCACACATAAGGTAAGTAATGCTGTATCTGTGTACCATCTGAAGATTAACGCCTGCAAATCTATTCTAGCACACCCTCAAAACGAAAATTTGAGCCCATAAATGAGAATAATAGTAACACTGTAATTATCAACAACCTAATAAATCACAAAAAACAGACAATAATCACACTGCCTACCTGTCCTGTCGTCCAGCAGATTCTAGTGCAGGCAAGTTTGACTCAGGATCTGCAACAAAGACAGTTTACACACAAAGTCTCCATCAGCGGTCCCATCATGCATTTCTTCCAAGCAAACATGTGCAGGACAGAGTTGAAATACTCACATGCTGCAGGCTGGACATGTTCCATCCACGCGGTGTGATAGCCCACAACATTTACATGTTGCAAGCTGGACAACATTTTGACCTCCCTAAGGACCTACAGCAAGCAAAACAAGTTAAAGCGGGTACTTCATATCTCTGTATTTAAGTAACACAAGTGTTCTAATGAGCACAGCTCAGAAGGCTTACCTTCATACAGTCTTCCTTTGAAACTTTTTTGATGAGAATTTTCTTCATCGCATAATACTGTCCATCCAATTTGTTCATAACCTATCAACGATAACACAATGATTTAACTCAAATCCAGTTTTAGAACAGAATAGACCTTTCTTGTCATTGTACATGTACAATGAAATTGTGAGGGAAAAATGAAAAGTTTAGAAGAGTTTCTTAAAGAATGTCACAAAAATTATATATACCATAAATACGTTTCCATATGATCCTTTCCCAAGTCTACAGATTTCTTCGAACTCACTGAGATACCGTGATGTCTGCGCTTGAAACAGTCCCTCCTTAGGTCTGCTTAAGGCACAAACAGGCTTCCTTAAAAATGTACTGAAATATGCTTTTGAAAACATGCATCAGAAAAAAATCCAAATACAATTTACCTTAGAGAAGGATTGTGTGCGTTTGTTCCGAGGCCCTGCAAACCAAGACGAGGATAATCACAATGATCACTCTTTGACACAGCAGGCGGCAAAGAAGGTTTATCAAAGTACAGAATTTGCTCAAAAATGTTGATTAAAACTAACATACTGACTCCAAGCACGCAGTGTAGGTGCTGGCAACAGATCCACTTACCTGAGGGTAGAGTGAGGAGCTGGCAGCATTAAGCAGCTCAGTGAAGGCCCGGTTATGTTGGAGTCTGACGGTGCTGAATTCATCACTTATTGCCAGAGGTGAAAGGAGATTCATGGCAGCTAAACGCTGACCTATGACTGTGAGAGGAGCAATAAAATACTTAAACCTATGCGACACATGAACCAAATGCTAAACATGAACTGTATTTGGATTTCTCTTCTAACTAAATGTCAGTTCTTAGTATAGGATCTCGATGGCTACCTTTAAACAGCATGCGTGAGCGAGCTGGATTGCTCTCGTAAACAAAGCACAGGTGCTCGAGCAAAGACCCGAGGAGAAGGTGGTTGGGGATGGCTGAGGCAAACTCTTGGATTGACGGATAATGCCTACCAGCCATCAACACCTCACGGTTATCGTCTGTGTCTGAAGCTAAACATAGGACAAAAAGAAAGAAAAACACTGAAAATGAGATCAAATAAGCACTTGTGAAAGCAGCTGACTGTTCTGTAAAGTTCACAGAGTAGATTTCTGACACAGCTGTCTTACCTTCTTCAATAACTTTTGCTATAATTTCTACAATGTTTCTTTCTCCTATATCCATTCTTCTGTGTGAAAACCCTTTCGGTGCAATATTAAGGCCTCAGAGCTACACTAATGATTCAACTTCAAGAAAAAATTTGCTCATCTTGTTTATGCATAAGGGGGTGTGCACAACAGTAATGCTTATCTGCCATATCCAGTGGACACAGGCCCCCCTCCACCTATCGCACAAAATGACTGAGCTTAGGAGAAGATGTGCATGTAGGGGTCTTTGCATGGTCTCCGTCGTCACTCTCATTTTATAATATTGCAGAATTCGTACACAGGGAGGGCCTGACGTGTGAAGCAAACATTAACCAGGTGTATTTTAAATCCTGTTTATGTAAAGGAGGAAGGTCAGGCTAGACCTGCCTCTTTGTGACTCACTTTATTTGAAGGCTCTATGGAGTAAATTCACATGTAAAGACTATTATTTCTCTCTGTGACACTAAGAACTAAAGGGATAGGCCATGCATAAATAGGTATGGTTGCTTTAATTCAGTCATGCATTTCAGCCGCACATACCTCAAAACCCAAAACATAAATGAGACCTCAAACACACAAATATATACGAGTGTATTTCAAAGGGTTTGGAGCCTTTCTGGTGGGGGGACAAGCACCCCTAATTTTCATCACCAAATTCTCTAAATAGCATCACAAACCTTAGCTGATGTAGGCTAGAGTGCTAAAGATTATTAGCTGTCCATAAGTCTACTGTCATATCGCTTTATGCCAGCAAAGGAGCCAGTGTAGTTTATTTTATTCCCATTCTGCTCGAATTGGGCTTCATTATTTGTTTACAGCACAACAGCACTCCAGAGCAAGCCAGAAGGATGTTAGCTATCAACCGGCAGTGGAAGCCTATATTCAATTAGAATACTATCATAAAATGATGTAAATCCTGCTTTTATTGTTGTTGTTGTTGTACATTCTGTTTCACTGTCACATTTACATTTTGGTGACAGCACAAAGCCTGAGGGAGGAGGATAGAGAGGGTGAGAAGGAGAGAGTTCAGGATGAAGACAGCAAAAGTAGAGGAAGCTTACATGCAATCAAAATCAGCAAGAGTTATAAAGCTAAGGTAGCTTCTTCTTTTGGCCACATTCACTGAAGTTTATTTCAAATCCTAAATCTAATACAATCACTGAGGTAAATGGTAGCATTTAACAGAATTCATTTCACTCTAAACATGCCTTAAACAGGACAGCTGCCACTATACTTAAGTATAAGTGGATCTGGCTGGGTACCAGCTATCCACAATAAAGGGAGTGTTTGTATTATTTTTTTTAATGTCTGTACTAATTCATGCTACTTTGATTGCTTCAAGTAAAAGGAAACTCAAACAATGGATACTACAATACGTCATCCAACTAATGAGATTGCTTTTTAAGTTAACATTTTAATGCATACCCAGCTCAAATGGGTTTTGCAAAGGTGAAAAGATTGAATATGCTTGCAAGCACCATATTCAATTAATACTTATTGGAGGGTACTGTGCACGATATCATGACTGGAGGCTGAGGCTGAAGACTAAAGCTGATCCTTAAAATTGTTCATGCAGTTAAAATAAACGGTCTCTCAGAGGATGGCTTGTCACACGGACTCTTAACTTCTTAGCTACGCCCCTGCTATATTACGTAAGTAAAAATGCAGGTGTGGACTTTCGACAACTCCAAAACTCACATTTCACTCAATCAATGTGGACAACCGTCACGGACGTTTGGTTGACACCGGTGTAAACAAAACCTTTGAGTTTAGCAGTTGTAAAACACAGCAACGAAAATCTGCTTACTGTCAAACTGGACTTCGTCGTCCTCTTCAGTCGCTAAGTTTAGCAGGCTAACGATACTGTCTGCCTCCTGCCTCCAGCTGGGTTTACGGTTATGCCGAAGCAAAAGGCCGCTGCTGCCAGAACATTCCTCCGACTGCACGAGTCCGTTGTCGGACGGTGAGCTGTACATTTTAGTACGGGAAATAACGATGACATGGCAAAATAAAACGCTTAATTCACCACGCTGCCCGATAAAAAATAAAAATAAAAAAGCTGTCCCATGTCTGCAATGAGATGAGTCAAACTCTACGTTAAATCCCAGTTTGTGAAAATGTACAACGGCAGAAAAGTCCGAAAAGCTGTATGAAAAATGCCATAAGGTTCACCATGTCAATGGACAGCCATGTTTTGCGTTCCCCAGCCTTACAGGGACCGTCTGACAATAAGCGTGGAGAAAAGGTTAACTTATTTATTCTATTTAATCTATGTTTTTGTAAAATAATAAAATAAAAAAAACTTAAAGTAAAATTAACATAAGCGCATTTGAAAAATATGAAACTAAAAAGTCAAGACACTGAGGTGGTCCCTGTAGTTAAAAAGTCGTCTTTTCTTTTTTAAAAACTGGATAATTGCACATTCGCCCTGACACCTCACGGAGTCGGTTTGGTGATGAAATAATACTAAGCTTTAGGCAACAGCTTTGAAAATACTTGCTCTAACAGTGCCATTTAGTTTACTTTTTTTTGCTACTATTGTATTTATTTTTGAGGCTGTGTTCTTACGCACTCATTATATTACTGTTTTGCTGCTTTTAATAGGAAGCTGCGCTGTTCTGCGCACACGTGACGCTCGCGAGCAATCTGCGCAGTTCGCGCGGGACTTGCTTTAGGTTTGTGTTTACAGCATGGTGTCGGGTAGTGGATGTACTGGCAAGCAGTGCCAATGATACTATTTGACAGAAGGGACGGCAGGGACTAACTATTCGGTGTTTTACAGAAAAAACAAATTTAAACTCTCAAGTCACTCCACTCTTCGAAGATGTTTGATGCATGGTAAGCTAGCGAGAGCATTTGTTCATATGGATATGTTTGTGTTTTTTTAAACGTTTGTTACCTTGTACACTGGAATTCAACATTGCTTTTCTTTGCTGCAGCTCTGAACCTGCCGGGGCCATCAGAGCTATTGATAGGCACTCGGTGCATCAGATTTGCTCAGGACAGGTGGTGCTGACTTTGGCCACTGCTGTCAAAGAGCTGGTGGAGAATAGCATTGATGCAGGAGCCACCAACATTGGTAATTAAATATTTACCCAAAGTATTTTTCGATAGAGTCCCGTTTGCCTAATAATACTGTTTTGCATTGTTAGATATAGTTTAATGTATCACATGTTTGCATGCTGCAGATGTCAAGCTGAAGGAGAGTGGAGCTGAACAAGTGGAGGTGGCAGACAATGGCAAAGGTGTTGAGGAGGCCAACTTTGAAGGACTGAGTAAGTGTCACCTTTGTATCTGTGTAATTAGACAATATCTGCCTGTGCTTGTTTGTTAAGAAGAAATCATCTGTGTGTTCCACAGCACTGAAGCATCACACATCAAAGCTGAGGGATTTCTCTGACCTCATCCACGTGGAAACATTTGGCTTCAGAGGTGAAGCCCTGAGCTCTTTATGTGCTCTGAGGTAAAGTATTTCAAGTTCTGCGGTAATTTTAGATATAAAACTAAATTATTTGCCAGCTAAAATTTACTCTTGCTCCTTATTGTAGTGACTTAAGTGTCATTACCTGCCACGAGTCCAGCCAGGTGGGCACAAAGTTGTTTTTTGACCACAAAGGCCACCTAGTGCAGAAGACCCCTCATCCTCGGCAACAGGGCACCACGGTCAGCCTGCAGCAGCTCTTTTCCACCCTGCCTGTTCGACACAAGGAGTTTCAACGCAATATTAAGAAGGTCGGGCATTCAGTCGTCTCTTTCATTGTCTTTCTTCACATACTGAGTTTTCCAAAAGTGGGCTTCAGGTGCCCCCTCTGTGAATCGCCACCTTATCGCGGTGGAGGGGTTTGTGCGTTCCGGTGATCCCAGGAGTTATGTTGTCAGGGGCAGTTTGTCCCTGGTAGGGTCTCCCAAGGCAAATTGGTCCTGGGTGAGGAGCCAGACAAAGAGCGATTCTAACAACCCCTATGAAGTCCAAAAAAAATCAAGGGTTAAAAACTCAGGGTTACCAGGGTTCCACCCGTGAGCCAGTCCCAGTGCGGTGAGCGGTGATCAGGGACAAGGTCCTGGTGTGTTGATCCGTGGCTTTCAAAACTAGCTTGTGGTACGTGGTAGATCACATCTCTGAGATGGGCTGGTTCGCCTCAACCTACAACTCGGGCTCCAGAGCCAGTTTCCTGGGCTTTGTTCTACTCTGGAGTTGTCCTAGATGAGAGGCGGCGGCAAGAGTGGGTATTTTCTATGCCAAGTTTAACTTTAAAGTAACAAATTAGATCAACAATGTCAACAGACCTTAATAATGGCTATTATCTTGTTCTGTGTTTTTAGGAGTATGCCAAAATGATACATGTGCTGCAGTCCTACTGTATCATTTCTACAGGAGTGCGCATTACCTGCTCCAACCAAAATGGGCAGGGAAAGCGCAGCACAGTCCTCAGCACTACTGGCAGCCAAAGTATGAGAGACAACATTGGAGCCATATTTGGACCAAAGCAGGTTAATATGCTGTTGCTAATAACAACAAAGCCACTAGCCTGATACTTCATAAAAGAGGCTTGTCAAAAAGCGGTTCATGTGCTTGCTAAATGTTTTATTTCATATTTATTTTTTTCTGTGATTATGCGCTGGCTGTACATCTTGCAGCTGCAGAGTCTTCTACCTTTCCAGCAAGTTTCTCCCACTGAAAATGTTATTGAAGAATATGGACTCAAGGGTGCAGATCTACCCAAACAGCTTTTCTCGTGAGTGTTTTATAGGAAGACCTTTTTGCACAATTCTTGTTATTATTTTCTTTTTTGTAATTATTATTATTTTGTTTGCTTTTGACAGGATCACAGGTTTTGTGTCTCAAGGTGACCACGGTGTTGGGAGAAGCACCACAGACAGGCAGTTCTTTTTCATTAACAATCGGCCTTGTGACCCCCTGAAGGTAATTCCTGCTGAGTGGCTTTATGAGGAGGTGTCAGAATTCATCATTCCTGCCTGACCTCTGGTTATTCCCACCCTGCAGGTGACCAAACTCGTAAATGAAGTGTATCACATGTACAACAGACATCAGTATCCATTTGTTGCCTTGAACGTAGCTGTTGCTTCAGGTGAGAAAATGGGGATTAATCAAGCTGATGTAATTTATGGAACCCGTTTGATTTCCCTGAGTGCATATGCGTTGTGTTTTCAGAGTGTGTGGATGTGAATGTAACCCCGGACAAGCGACAGATTTTCCTTCAGGAGGAGAAACTCCTGTTGGCTATTCTAAAGACCTCTCTCATCGCCATGTATGAGGGTGGAGTCAATAAGATCAGCCTGAACTATACACCTGCACCCAGCACCAGTAAGAATACACCTTTACATGTAGACCCTCATATCTTTACATTAATAATACGGTAAAATAGCAACACTGAGAGGTTTTTAGGAATATTTGTCCTTGCGCTCACTGGTTAGTAATGTAAGGGAAGGAGGAAATAACGCCATGGTTATGAGTTAATTAAGTGTGGGAGCATGAGAGCTACATAGTATTTATCTTCTAATAATGCATGGCCACGTGTAGAATCTTTTTACAAAATCTGTTTACTTTATGGGAGAAGTCCATAAAGTATTACAAAGTATTATCAAATGAAGCATGGATTCATATATTATTTTCAGAAATGTCCTACCAAGACAATAATGTACAGTTACTTCATGGGATATCATAGGCATATGGACCCTGCCAGGTTTAATCAAATCAGCACATTTTGTGTTCAGTATTTAATTATCCCTTTTCCAATGAATGGTATTTTTATTAGCTGTTCTTAAAAGTTTCATTTTGTTTCTGTGCTTCTTCATAGATGCAACATCAACATCTGAACCTTGCCGAACTGTCTTGTCTAACGAGAACAAGGCAGAACGTGAGGAGGACACCGAATCTGTTATTCTGAGCCCAAAGTCATCCCTGAATCTGGCCGGCCTAAAAGCTGCTTTTTCAAGTCATTACAGTTCCAGTTCTGGGAAGTCGAGTAAGGAAAAAGCTTCCAGCAGTGGCACAACACAGAAAACCCTGCAGTCTTTTTTTAAGGATCCTGTAAAAACTTCCTGCAACTCAAGTTTAAAATCTCCATTAAAATACACAAGACAGCTGGATAAATGCTCGTCGGCAGGGAAGTCGGTGCTAGATGGGTTTAGGTACCAAGTGATGTCCTGCGAGGACATTGATTCTCAAAAAGACAGTGCTGGGTCCAGTTGTAACACAGCTGAAGCAAAACCCGATATTCAGTGTTCTGACCTGGAGTCCAGTCCTCCAAAAGTGGAAAGAACGAGTGTTAATAATGAAACTTTTAAAGAGACATCAGGCAACATTCACACTGTTCCCGAAGATCCAGAGTTAGAGACTGAAGCATGCACTCCTTATGAGGACTCTGCTGTCAGCCCAGAGGCCAAGAGGGCCAGGAAAGACTATCCACATTTCCCTTCAGAAGAAGAATCCAGCACTTTTTCAAATGCTGGTGAGAAACCTCCCTTGACAGTGGATGCTCCAGTCTGCCTGCAGAGGAGGACTGTGCATCTTCAGTTCTCTTTAGCAGAGCTTGCAAAGAAGATGAGGAGGTTACAGGACCAGCATAAACAAAGGGCCGGGGAAGAGCTGCTGTACAGACGCTTCAGAGCCAAGATCAATCCAGGAGAAAACCAGAGTGCAGAAGAAGAGCTCAAGAAGGAGATCAGGTAGATTTTAGAGGTATGGACTTAACTGTCGGTGTGTAATTTTCAAACAAATAATTAAAAGAAAAATGTTTTAATCCCTTCAGTAAAGAAATGTTTAAAGAAATGGAGATCATCGGTCAGTTTAACCTGGGCTTCATTATCACAAAACTCAAGTCGGACCTTTTCATGATTGACCAGCATGCCACAGATGAGAAGTACAACTTTGAGATGCTACAGCAGCACACCGTACTCCAAGGGCAGAAGCTCATTGTGTAAGAGTGTAAATCACTGAGTAAAACCGTGTTTGGAATGTTTCCAATGGCAATCCGAGTATGTTTTTATTTTATTTTTTTTTCCGTTTGCAGCCCACAAAAACTTCACCTCACTGCAGTCAGTGAGAACGTACTCATAGAGAACATCGAGATTTTCAGGGGCAATGGCTTTGAATTTCTGATTGATGAGGACGGTAATACAATTTGCACCAGGGATTAAAAGTGATCTGATTATTTTGACAGTTACAAATATGAAGCTTATATTTGTTGTTTATTTTTTGGGGACTGCAGCTCAGGTGATGGAGAGAGTGAAGTTGGTCTCACTGCCCACCAGTAAAAACTGGACATTCGGTCCATCAGACATCGAAGAACTGATCTTCATGCTGAGCGACAGTCCAGGGGTTATGTGTCGACCATCCAGAGTCAGGCAGATGTTTGCCTCCAGAGCTTGTCGGAAATCTGTGAGTTTATATCACTGTGACGTTGTTTTTAAGTGCTCACTCAAGTTTTGACTGGATAGTCATAGACTGCAGCATTGACTGTATATAAAGGATGGACGTGGCCACTTATTGGTTTCTAAAGTTCATGAAGCGCCTTGAGGCGACTTTTGTTGTGATTTGGCGCTATATAAATAAAATTGAATTGAATTAAAGTCCACTTTTGAAGCCTCGATTTCTAGATTGTTTTGCCCATTGTGATATTACGTTTTTTTTGGACTCAGAAATGATATTCATCTTTGAGGAAGCTTGATTTGCAAAGCTACATACATAAACTATATGGTATGATACACCCTGTTAGTAATGCTAGTAATTTGTAGTTATCTAAGATCTTTTAAAAATGTCATTATAGGGAAATTGCATAACATTATTTTAAAAATGCTTTTTGATGCATTTTCTGCTCATCAGGTGATGATCGGCACTGCTCTGAGTGTTAATGAGATGAAGAAGCTCGTGGTTCACATGGGGGAGATCGAGCATCCATGGAACTGTCCTCACGGCAGGCCAACCATGAGGCACCTCGCTAACCTGGACGTCATCTCACAATACTGAGTCTGCAAAGGAAGGAACTGTTGGAGTAACTGATTTAAGATAACTCAAATGTGTCCCGACTCCAGATTACTTCTGTCAAACCACTCTTACGGTATATTGTAGAGTTAAATGGTTTGTTATTGATTTAATGTCATGTTTAGTTGTGTTTAGATTTTAAAAATGTATATTACATATTATATTTTTTTATTTTAATATACACCACACAGAACAATAAAAAAGATACTGGAAAAATATATGTATTCTGTCTCTGTTACTTTAAATCATTTATTTACAGGTTTGCATTGTGTTGTGTTGACTGAATGGGTCTGCTACTGGAGTGAGGTCAACCTAGATTCACACCTGAGTGGTAAAATTACTGAGACCTTATTCTGGGTTTCAAGGTAAATGCAGAAAAGCAAACGATCTGTGAATATCGTCACTTTAGGACCACAAGATTTGGAATCGTTTTATCAGCCACTGGATTTGTAAACGTTATACACATAAGACTATCTGAATTTCCATTAGCAAATGCCGATTTAAGATTAGCAGAAGTAATTTAACAATGGAAATAATGTATTTTCCATTACTTTGAAATCCATAATGAGTGTTTAATGACGCTTGAAAGTGTCCGACTGCTGTATCTGGAAAATATGTTTTATTATTTACTTATTTGCGCTCACAAAATGCCTTTTATTAAGGTTATCGTAAATACTAGATCAGTTGCGCATTCAAAGCCCACCAGGTCAGGGTGTGACCAAGGATTAGCCTAGCAAACTCAAATAAAGGCTTTCTTTCAGGCTTCCGTAGTTGTAAGCGTCCGTTGCCATGGTTAAGTTCCTATTCCCAGCTTGTGCAGTACTTGAGACAAGATGAGAAATAGAAAAGAGCCTAAGGAAAATGTTTGATTGGGAACAATAATAATAAAAAGGGAAAACAATAACAGTTGGGTATGACATCCAAAACGGAGGAGGGTAGACGATCTTAAAAGTCGATGACGATGAGCCAAATCAAGCTCCAGAATCATCCTGACAGTGACGAGCAGCCCGAGGACGAAGGCAAATATGAACTTCCCCCACTTGTTATCTTAACTGAACAGAGGTACATTGTTATTCACGACGTTAGTTATGTGAATAATTGTTTTTAGAGAACGTATAAGTTACTCAGGGTGGGAGGTTTGGTGTCTTTCTGACAGATATGAAGGGGAAACCTGTGAAGGGCAGTTTCATGGACAAGGTGTAGCTTATTTTGAAGGAGGCCATGTGTACAAGGTACAGCTTTACAAATGAATTTCAAATACAAATAATGACCTAATTTCATAAATCAATTAAGGATTTATTATATTATAATATATTTTGAAATGTGTTAAAAATGCATCAAACAAATAACAAAAATGTATGTTTGAATTGTATTTTTGTGAAGGGCATGTTTTCCAAAGGACTTATGGATGGATTCGGCACATTCACACGGGCAGCTGGACTAAAATATGAGGTAGCATACAGAAATTATGCATTAAAAACTAACTGTACAGTATCCTTTCTTAAGCAGGGTTTTTGAAAAGTCAATGTATATGTAACATTTCTAAAAACAGCCATCCTTTATATACACACTCATAAAAATACAGGTCAGTAAGGTGTAATGAAACATAATGTGGAGGCAAAGTCTTTGATAAAGGAATGCAGGCAAAATACTGAATTGAATTTATCTAATAGGGAGAGTTTGTACACAATATTCCCATGGGCCAGGGCACTTATACATGGGCAGATGGCAGCACCTATAAGGGGGAGGTTTACAACGGTATACCACATGGGACAGGAACCTACAAATGTACCCAAAACAGCTTGTTTTACAGCGGGCAGTGGCATCAGGGCAAGAGACATGGAAAGGTATGATTTACCACTGATTTTGTCATTTTTTAGGAATTTGGTTGTCTCTTTTTAATTGGTCTCGTTTGTGCTAGGGTACGGCGTATTATAACGAGGAAAAAAACTCTTGGTACAAAGGAGATTGGGTGAGGAACAACAGAGAAGGATGTGGACTGAGATGGTATGCATCAAGTGAATATATCTCCTCATCTGGTGTTGTATTTGAATTACCCTGCAATAACATTTGTTCCTGATAGCTACCCTTCTGGGAACACTTACTCTGGTGAGTGGAAGACCAACCAGAGGCATGGAAAGGGCACGATGCTGTGGCTGAATCTGGGACAGAAGTATGTTGGGGCATGGCAGGATGGAGTGCAGGTATGAAAGAAAACCCTAGTTTAATTATATATGAAGTTATAAAGCTTAAAAAAAATTAACTCTTGAATCAGATTTATGTTTTGGTTGCTCCTGCGGCAGCATGGCCAAGGCACACATGTCTGGAATTTAAGACGAAAAGATGGATCTCAGTATTCCCAGAGCAATCGATACACAGGGGAATTTGCTCAGGGTCAGAGGCATGGATGGGGAACCTTTTACTACGCTGGTGGTGCGATCTATGAAGGAGAATGGAAGAACAATAAAAAGCACGGGCAGGTGTGTTTCACTGTCAGCTGGAAAAAGTTTAGAGAAATCCACAGTATGCTTTCTTATTGATGTATTAAAAGTGCAGAATGAATCAACTCTGATTGTAAAATTCAGAAAAATGTCACCTTTGTCAGGGAAAATTCACACTGAGTGACGGGCGTGCATTCGAGGGACATTTTGTGGATGACCAAATTATCACACCCAACCTGAGAGCACATAGTGCTCCTCTCGGTAAGGAGCAACAATATTCAAGAGTATGTTCAAAATAGAAAAGAAGGAAATAAGCAATCCTGCAGTCTTGAAATCCTTCTGAAATTTGTCATAGGTGCGTTCCCGCTGTCACATAGTAACTCATCTTTACTGGGACCAGACATGACTCTGAACATTGACTGTCTCCTGGACATGATCCCGGAAAGAAAACGTGACACAGAGCGCAAACAGGTCAGTCCTCAGCCCAGCGTCCTCATTTACAGCCGTGTTCCCACCCTGAAACCGTGCATCATGTGTAACAGGTGGAGTTTGTGGTGCTGAGGCAAGAAAGAGAGCTGAGGTCAATTTGTAGTTTCTACAGCAGGCTTGGTTATGCCCGCTCCCCAGAGAACACCCTCCTGCTGTCCCGTCTTCAGTTCTGGCGCCTGCTCAAAGACTGTAACATTCATCATCACGGCATAACTCTGACACAGATAGACCGTCTTATCAAAGGTGAAAGGGACTGCTCCACAGCAGACACTGAATGATCCTCTGAGAGTATTTATAGGTTATTTTAACCGCTTTCACTCTGTGTGTTTCAGAGGATGTTGATCCAGCAGAGATACACTCGCCTTTCATGCCTGTGCTGCTTCGCAAGCTCATCAGCTATCTTGTCATTGTGGCCCACCACATCCACAGTAAAGACATGGTGTAAGGGAACCTGTTAATACCTTTATCAGAAGATATCACAATGAAACTGCCTGGGGTGTCCCTTAATAAACTTAATAAAATCAGTTTGTTTATACTCAAGAAAACTTTGTTTAATCGGGATTAATCGTGATCAATTATCTGTAATAATTCATTTTTTTCTCTATTTACAGGTCACCAAAGTACCTTCTGGCTGCCTGTTTTTCCAAACTGATGACAGATGACATCCTTCCAAATGCTAAGAATGTAAAAGGTGCTTACACATGCTACAGACCCAATTGTATGTGATTCATTTAAATTGTATTTCACTAGCTGGTGAACTTCAGAGACAATCCGTTCATCAGCGGTACTGCTAGGTAACAGCAAACGACACTGTAATCAGAACTAAAAGAGCAAATCGGTGAAAGAAAAGTTCAGTTACTACTAATGTTTTGGTTTAGTAGTTTGTTTGTTCCTCAATTGGGTTTCTTCACAGGTTTTGATACTCCTGTAGAATCCTGATGTTGTAGTGTTTAACACTCTTGCTTAACTCTATAGTATGTAGTACTCACTGTTCATTAACAATAGCTGCGTCTGTCCAGGCTTTCTGTTTAGGCAGCCAGACGTTGGAGTGATGGCTATGAACTATATGAAGAGGTGCTGGGAAGTCTTTCAGCTTTTCTGCACAGCCACCAGGGATGAACTGACCATGACCTGCCATCACCTGCTGTGGATGTTCAAGGTGCAACAAACTGTAACACTTTTCTTTGCTGGTATAAATAGTACATTACATTTTTGCTGCCCGTTTCATCAGTGCAAACTAAAAGCTTCTCAGTATTAAATGATTACTGCTGCTCTATTCCCTCTTTCCCTTCACTCCCAGCTGGTCACGGCAGGTGGCTCTTCCTCCTGGTTCTGTTGGAGGTTTCTTCCTTCCTGTTAAATGGGAATTTTTCCTTCCCACTATAACCAAGTGCTTGTTGTTAGAAGTTATCTGATTGTTTGGGTTAACCCTGTATTATTGCAACGTCTTTCCCTTATATTATAAAGCACACAGAAACAACTGTTGTTGTAATTTGGCACTATATAAATAAAACTGAATGAAAGTTTTATGTCCCAGATTTGACATTAATACAATACTTTAAAAAAATTAAAGTGGATTTATGGTCAAACAAATCTGATTTAAATGTCTTTAACAACAGCAGATAGGATGAATGACATGCCTATTTATCACGAAAACAATTAATCAAAGTTAAAACCTCCTGTTGTAACCACTTGCAGGATTTCCATTTGTTGGACCATAAGCTGACCACAAGGAGGTTATTGGAGATCATCAATACAGAAAGCCACAACCCTGACAACCTTTCTGCCAGTGTTGATCTGGAGGTCTGTTTACATCAGTAAACTCATTCAGCTGTTTTTTGGTACAATATTACTCTTTTTGAATCATGAGAGCTGTTGTTCTGTTCTTTCCATTGCAGATTACGTTCCTTGAGTTTTTTGAGGTGCTTCTGGGCTGCGCGGAAGTTACATGTGAGCAGGTTTCTGAAACACTGAAGGAGGACCATCGGGTTTTTGGGTCCAACACTGAAACCAGGAAGGATTCGCCTGAGGTGGAGGTCCGTGAAGAGATGATACAGACAAAAAACAGCCCCTTCCAGTTGGTCAGATCCTGTCTCAACGCTTTCATAATCTCTGTATCTGCTAACCTTGTAATGTCATGTCACATGTAAAATATGTAGTTGTTCAAACATATTAAGGACCAAACATATTTTTGCAAGCTGTGACATAATTATATATTTCAAAATTAACAAGCTCCTGTATTTTTTCCCCAATTCATTTACTTTCAGTGTTACTCATTTTTCCTTCTGGCAGTTTTACTAGCCGATACAGGCCAGTATTGGTTGACAAAACAACCAACACTATATGCACAAAAAGATGACTGGGGCTGCATCTGTGAAGGGTGATTCTGGAATATGCCACAAAACTGGCAGTAACGTTGCTAAAATCTTTAATAAGATAAAATCCCATCTTTATTGCAGACTGGGATTTCCAGTGCTCAGGATGGAAGTCAGTGGGATGTCAAGACTGAAGCCAACGAGATACCAGAGCCTGCAGGTTTGGTTTATAGTTTCAGTGTATGCATGCCTGTGTGTGTATATATATATAGGACTTCAGTCCTTCTAGAAGCAGGTCTTGCTTGGGCAGGATTTTTTTGAAGAACTTAAACCAATAACCTTTCATTTCAGTGGTGACTGGGATGTAAACCGAGTCCATGACTTCGCCTTGAAAATGCTTAAATGGTTTGCAAACTGACCACCTAAAAAGGCTTAAATTCTTTTCCCTTGATGTTATCCTACTGTCATCATTACAGATTCAAAAATTCCCAAACCCAAAGTTTTACATAAGAATGGTTCAGAAAATGAAGGGACATTTATTGTATTCAATGTAAGCTAGACATGCCCAGTAAATACACACTTCACAAATCACATATTTAAAAACAGGTTTGTACTTTCAAATTCTCAGAATGATTGTGTCAGAACTAAAATGCCTAACATGTTTATTTCCTTTAGAGTACACAGACGATCCTGGAGGTGAAATCATGTGCAGACCAGCAGAAAACAACACTAAAGACTGCAAATTGGAACTTAAGATGAAGACTGTCGATGAATTCTTCAACCACTTTTTCTTCCCAGCATCTGACTATTACCAGCTAGTCACAAGAAACATAATGGAAGAAAAGCACCACCCAGAATCTCAGGTTGCTCTAGATAAGATGAAACAAAAGCCAAATAATGCTGTTAGAACAACATGCAGCTAACATGTCCTTAGTTTTGTTGGTTCAGTTTAGAGCATTATGAAGTGAAAATATTAATACAATGACCTCACACACGTTGTACTCCATTATTAAGGAGACATACAAATAAAGGCCTGGTTTCATGAAAAATCTTCAAATTTTCCAAGTTGCAACAAAGATTTTGTGACTGCATCTCTTGTCAGATGAAATGCGCCCCCCCGAAAATTGATGAATAAAAGATGAAACAAATTATTCTGTTTGTGTATCCCATTTTAACAAATAAAAGCAGTCAGTAATACCAGAGTTGAGCATTGTTCATTTGTGATTGGATATAGATACAGAGTTCTTTATTGGTTGTAACCAAAACTTTAATTAGAAGTTTGTGTGAGAAAACTTTTCTACTCAAGAACATCAAAAATCTTTTTTTTAATATTTAAAAAAAAAAAAACAAAAAAAACAAACAAACTGTAAAATGTTGCTAAAACAAGTCAAAAATAAACACTTTTTTACTTTCTTCAGTCTCTTTACTAAATATTAGGAGGGGTGAAGACCATGAGGTCACTCGGACAGACTGACTGGCGTATCTTGTCCTTCAGGTCTGGGGTGAAGAGAAGCAAGGCAGACTCTGCTGTCTGTACCTAAAGAATAAAGGGGGAAAAAAAAAATCCAGAGAGAAAAATCACAAAGACAATTTTGGACAAAACATTAGGATCTATCTATCTATCTATCTACTTAACCACTCCATAAAACCCTAGTGTTTAGAAGAAAAGTGGAAAAACTTTGACCTGTCGTGAGTGAGGAGTTAACACCGAAGACACCGCTGGCAGTGCTGTCGTGACAGAAGTGAGCAAAAGAATGAATAAAACGGTGAAAATGTGTAGTTTTTAAAAATGTGGTGACAAAAAAGCAAAAAACAAACAAAAAAAACAAAAAAACCCAAAAACGCTTCAACATAAAAATCTCTCTCATTAGTTAGTGTTGCCAAGTTATAAAACATTAGTCTTACCAGACTCTTTCTCAGTAAGAAAGTTCGTAGCTTGTCTTCTAGGACTCTCCATCGCTACATCCACTGCCATGGGTGACAGTGTCTCTGTTGCAACTGTGTCCCTTGGTGACAGGCTGCATCTGTCTGAGGGCTGGAGGTATCTCTCAAAATCCAGTCCAGAAATTTCCTAAAATTACAAGAAAATAATATATTCATTACATGGCTAGAAAACACCCCTCCCAAGAAAAAATAAAAAATAAAAAAATTTGTTCTGAAGCACAAAACAGAATTGAAGGGGAAATTTATTTTACCTCGACGACTGTGCTGTCTGGTGTGTGACACAGAGTCTCCACTAGGCCCTGCACAGCAGATGAAGAGACGGAAGGTTGGCTAGGAGTTCCACAGGGCGACAGTGTAAAGCTTGGGGCTGATGAGGGCTCAGGAGCTGGGGGCACGGCAGGTTGTTTGCACGGAGAGCCTGGAACTGCTGGACTGACAGGGTTATCAACAGTTACATCCTCGGCTGGCTCGAGGATTGCTGGAAGGACTTGTGGAACAGAGGGAATGTCTGTGAAGACTTTTTCTGACACTTGTGCAGGGCATCCGTCAGGTTGGGTGTCATCTGAAATCACTTCCTTGACAGGTGAGAAATCCATAGAGATGTTCACGATGTCCCTTCTGCTCTGGGTCGCCTGAGGAGTGCCGCACTGAGACTTTGGTTCTGGGGTTTGTCTGAGAGTGAGGCGGAGGTGTGCGGGTGCGTGAACATGTTGAACAGGTGTCTGAGCCAACGCAAGGGAGCGCCGGGTGACCCTTCTAGGTGAGAGATATGTGGAGCATGGAGAGACCCCAGGCAGCACAGCAGCATTTAAATGGCTGGATCTCCTAACTGAACAAAGAAAAAACCCAACATGTGCAATATGATTAGACCAAATCCAGAGTCATCCAAAGTCCAAACTTTTGGCATGCAAGTCACCTGATTGTTTAGCTGGGCTCTCCACCTGGAAGAAGCCTCCATCAAAGACCACTGTGTCCTGCCTTTGAGCCCCTGCTTGTGGGTGTGGATTCTGAGAGCTCAAGACGAGACAGTCTTCAGTGTTAGCAGCACCGGCTGCCTTCTCTGCCTCAGCTGCCTGCTTTTTGGCTTTCATGGCTGCTTTTGCGGCAGCCAGACGAGCCTTAGCTGCTGCATTAGTTCCTGCAGGCTTGGCAGATGCTGCTAGCTGTTTCTGTGAAAAAGACGGGACAAGCGGTTTTCTTAAACACGGAGGCCTTCATATGCAAATGACTACAGAAACAACAACCATAAAACTCAATTAGTTTTATGATGGCACAGCTGTGTGTTGACAAAAGTAAAGCAGTGTTATTGAACCAAAGCTTAAATTAGGAATCTTTACCTTAACTACTTTCTTCTGTCGTGGTGGAGGCTTGTGCTCCTCCACCCAGCCTCGCTCCTCCGCTTCTTTCAGAGCGTCAAACTTCTTGTTGACATCCTCGACCTGGAATGCGGAAAGAGTGCAAAACAGATGTTAGGTCACTTCTCCTTGTTTGCGTGTTAATGTGTGTGTTGCACCTCTCTTGAGGCATCACCTGGTAATAAACCATGTCCCAGAACCCCTGCAGGTCAGTGCAGGTGGTGATCTTCTCCCCTCGGCCTAGCTCACAGTCGTCCACCAGACCGCTGAATTGGTTGAAGCGTTCTTTCATCAACAGCCGTGCTTGGCCAACAGCTGTGCGCATGCGATCTCTCACTGAACACGATGAGAAAGAAGATAACAAAATTACTATTAGTCAGAGAAATCCACCATTTTCCTCATATGAAAAACAACCACTATCTACAGAACCAAAATTAAATATTCAAGGTTTTAATAATCAATTGGTGTAGAAGATAAACTCACTTTCTTCTGGGATGGACTCATCCTCCACTTTAGACTCCCAGTGGAGAGACAAGCTCATCAGTCTCTCTGTCTCATTGGCCATTTCTGATCTGAAGAATTTAAAAGAAAATGTTTTTTTATTTAAAAAAAAAATAAAAATAATAATAATAATTAGGTGTTCTTTTTTGAAAGACTAAACAATATGAAAAGTACCTGAAATATGGTACGTCGTGCTTGGTTTCCACTGATCCACCTGGACTTGGAGGGGCAACTGTGGGAGAGGTATGAAGAGGAGAGCGCAGAGGAGATTTAGGTGGACACGATTCGCTCCGTTCATCACTGAATACGGGGGCTGGTGGAAGGTTGAAGCTGGAGCTGGATGGAAAGAACAGCACTGCTTTTAGATTGACTGAAATTCTAAAGCCTACATATTTTCTTTAAAAAGGGCCCAAAAAAGAAAAATCTGCAACATAACAAACAGAAATATCAGTGCTAAAATATAACATTGCTTCCTCCTGTGATATAGATCAATACTCTGGTATAGTATTTCTATTATTAAACTTGCAGACACCCTAAACAATACTATAATATACTACTGCCTGACTCATCACAGTAATGCTGAGTAACAACAGCAGTAAACACATCTATTAATTGGTGTTTTGCAATACTGTGGCCAACATCAGTGTTTCAGTACATATTTAGCAAAAGGAAAATTTGAGCAGATGAAACGGAAAAAAGAAGCAGACCTTGGTGTAAGGAAGGAGTCTGCTGAACGAGGTGTGAGAGGCTCAAACTTGAAGGATGACAAGCCAGTCGGAGCCTGGAAGAGAAAACCTTCTGGAGCAAATGAGGATGTCGATGGGACGAGATCAGCAGAAACAGGCTTGGCTGGAGATTGATCCACCACCATGTCTTCTTCCTCAGCACATGGTGTCGGGCTGGGAGGACTAGGTCTTTTCTCAATGTCCTGCATCTCAGGCTCTGTCAGCTCAGGTTCCTGCACACGACAGGAGCAGCAAAGCAATTAAACTCCAAGTTACTTAAAAGTTTCACAAGTTTAGTTTGTCGTGTGTTTCACTGAACTGCTCACCTCTGAGACAGCATGATGGATAGTGTCATTGACTGCTTCTGTGTTTCATAAAGAAGGACAACAAAAATGGTGAGAGAAATTCCAACAACTGTTCACAATGTAAAGTGAGGCAGACACATTTGGAAAAAATTTTGTTTTGGTTTTATGGTTCATGATACCTTTACAGTTCCTTTGTGCACCAGACAGGGGAGCCACAGGATTAAGATTTGCTCGGCTCCTTGTGGTTCTTGCATCGGACACTGGTGAGAGACATTAAACACAAACAAATATCCATTTGTTTTAATCCCTCAACGCCACTTCTTAACTTCCCTTCCCAGTTTTGATATGAAATGAGCTTCCAAAACAGACAATACCTGCAGTCTTGTCCTTAGGTTTGCCTTTTACCACAGGAACTGGAGGTCTGTTGGCAGATCTGGTTGACAAAGCTCGTACGGCAGGTGCTTCTATGGTAGAATGGGATAATACAGACACAAATTAAGAGCTAAACACAGGATTGCAGTACTGCAAAACAAAAAAAGCTCAATGGCTGGTTTCAAGGGCAGTTTTTTTAAATTATTTGTACCTTTGGTCTTGGTCGTAGTTGATGCAGGCTTGGCAGAAGCTAGCCGGGTCCTTGTTGATCTTTCCACAGCAGGTTGTCCTACAGAAAGAGAAGAAGGTCATTACTAAAACTGCTTCTAATCAAAAGCTGCATTTAAAAAAATAAAAATAAAAATTCAGTTAAGGGGCATTCAGTTAATTTACCCTTCTTCACTCCAGTATTTGGATCTTGTATCTTCAGAGGCTGCAAGAATTGAGGCAATAGAAAAACAAATGAACAAAGTATTAGTTTTTTTGTTTTAAATAGTTAAATATGAAACTTGTGAAAACAATGGTGCATGTGTGGAAGAAAACAGTACCTTCTCCATTTGCTGCTGCTGTTTCATTGAACGAGTGACTCTAATACTTTGGGATGGAGCCGTGTTCGCCTTTTTCTGAAAACATAACCAAAAATAAATAAATAAATTCCACTGAGACCAAAAAGAATATCCTCTGATATCATGTGGTCATCACAGTTATGAAAGAACCAACAAAAAGTTAGGGAAGTAGTGTGATTCACAGACATGTTTTATAAAAAATTATCTAAAGTGTTTTTTGATAAGTCCCCTCTTACCTCTTGGATTTTTGCTGAGGCATCTGGGACAGCAGGTAGTGAGGTAATGGTTCCCGTTGGATGATACAGACCAATCTTAAACACCCCTTTACGTTCCCTTTCCCTCTTCTCTTTCTCCTTCTCAAGAGCCTTCCGCTCCTTCCAGCGCTCGAGCTGTTTCAGCCTATCTTCCACTGCTTTTGCTGTGGAGGAACAAGCATGGGAAAGGGCACAAATCAGCTAGAGCTAGAGCAGTCCATTTTTTAAAACTGTGAATCCATACCTTTAGCAGGTTTTTCATTGTTTTTCATCTTCTCTTGTATGGTTGACATATTGGCCACTGCAATAGAGGCATTCAGGGAGGACATTTCCAGCTCTGAGAGTTTATCCAGCTGCCTCCGGGTGTTCACAGTACGTTCTCGATTCTCCTTCTGGGAATGCGACCTTCTCCGAGACATTTTTACCCTAAGCATCGACACACTGGTGTCCCGCTGCCGCAGGTGAGCAAATCGTGACTCCATAATCAGGTATCTGGATTTTTCAAGAAGGGAAACAGATAATGTTGCAGATTGCATGCAATAGATATTAGGATAGACATAGGATAGACATTAGGAGACATTTGTCATATTAGATAAAAACGAGAGGAATCAAAAACTGAATGGCAAAATTTTTTCGTTTTTTGTGTTGTAATCAGCTATAAGAATAGAAATTAGACAAAGTTTTTAAACGTATTAGTGTCATTATTCATGTGGTGGCAATTTTAAAACCACACAAAAATAATTCCCAAAACATGGACAATGTACTGAGCAAGAGCTGTCAGGGGAAAAAAGAAAAGAAAAAACACTTCTTAGTATGTGGTATAGGCTAGGCACTATAAATGGTAACACGGCAAAAACGGCTTCATTTTGGCCTGTTTAGCTACAAGCTTGCAGACGTAACCACCAACAGATCAAAAATATTGACGCTGTGTTTTTCCCCCTCCCGCTTTGCTTATTCTCCGGAAATTCAAACAATTGCGTTAAAGCAACGACAGGAATGGCGTCGCGATGGCTTAATTTTTTTCCTTGGTGGTTTCTCTGCAAACGAATGTCAACGTCAGTGTTACTGGATTAAAGTATGATTTGAAGGAGACGTGAACCTTGCACCAACTACATACCTGAGTAAAAGCAAAATATAATAAGGCAAAAATTGGAGAAAGTAAACGTGAGCCAGCACAGTGTTTTGTTCTACTGCTACTAAAAAGTGTAGTGAGTAGAAATAGATACTTTCAAAGGCGAACCAGGAACACGAGCTAATTATTCAACCAATGCTAGTTTTGTAACCCACTCCACCGCGACTGTTGACAGAAGGACTCGCGCAGAGTTCAACGTTCGGTTAACAAATATATCTAAGTGAACAACTTTTATGATTAAAAACCCAACTTACCTTTTTTCTTTTTCCAAAGAGGTACAATATTTTTCTTTTCTTTTTTGTCTACTTACTAAAACCTGACAGCGCAACGTACACACTCAGTGCAGAAACATAACAATCATGGCGGGTGAGTTTTTAAAATTTGTCCAAGTTTACGCTGATTGGCTGCAAGTCGTACGTGAGCCCTGATTGGTTAGTTTCTTTTCTTCTTCTTCTGATTATTTTGTTGCTGTTGTAACAACTTTCCATTGTGTGCTGAAATTAGTCCAGAAAAGTCGAGAAAAAAATTTGTATAAAAACGTTTGCTTGGAATAAATTCTTTTTTTTTTTTTTTTTTTTTAAAAGGTCAAACCCTGTATAATTACACAATATGCATGTGTCTGATAAAATCAGGCATTTACAGTAGGAAGGGTAACAATTAGTATTAATATTAAGTTGTTTAGCTGATATAGTTAAACACGGGAATTATTTATAATCAGTAATCAGCTATGTGGGTTAAATCCATGTGGAATGAAATGAACTGTAAATCATTATTTGTTACTTTGCAAAGCAACCTAAAATAAAAATACACATGCATCCACAGAAAACTAATGAAATGATTGTACAATGTGATGCAAATAAAAGTGTTCATCATAAATAAGTTTAATACATTTCTCAATTAGACAGAAGATTTAAAAAGTGATATTTTGAAGCCAAATAAATTATAATATCTCTGGGTTTTTTCCCTCCTCTTCCCCCTGCAGGTGATTTTTATCCTTCAAGCTTGGTACCTGGGAGCTTCAGGGTCCTGCGCAGTAGCTGTTTCTAGGACTGCACTCTTCTGGACAGAGATCTTGATGTTGTTCCTAGGATCTGCTGGAGCCAGTTGCCTAGCTTGGGGGCAGGGGGCCACTGCACCAAGTGCTATACACACTCCATTTACTCCTTTGTGTACCTTATGCAGACTTCAGTGTCCACATCACTCTTGTGTAACTTGCCTGTTAGACCAGAATTGACTCTGAGACCAACGACAAAGTCATAACTCAAACAAGGAGAGCATAAACAGGTGAGAAAATTTCCAACAGCATATATAAATGTACACACCTTTTTTTCTCTCCACATGAAACTCTGTGTAGTGTAGTTCAACAACCAAATGAAGTAACATCAACACAAATACATTTTTGAGTCATGATCATTTTTGTTTTATGGTGGATTTAAGTCCTAAAATACTAACAACACTTGTGTTTTAAAGGTCATTAAAAAAACCTGACTAAATATTACATTTCTAACCTCTCTGTCAACAAAACTCGCAACTGTGTTTTTAAGAGATAATATGTCATCGCATTTTCTGTCCTTTTCCCCTGCAGGACAATGGACAAAGTACAAGTTAGGATGTAGTTCAGACAAAACCAAAAGAAAAAGCTGTTCAAGCCTAATTCATGAGATTTTTTGTAAGATTTTGCTAACTACATTTCCTGTAAAAGCCCCCCAAAAAAGATATTACAAGCTTAATATGTCATAGGTGCCAAGAATTCAGTGCTCTCTCAGTTATTTACCAAGAACCACGGAACAGTAGATTTCTATGATCTCTGGCATGTTTTTCAAGTGCTCCAGGAGTTCATCACAAGTTAATATTTGTGTTATTCTAGCCCATCCTCATCCTTTTTATTTTTAAAGTAACTGGAATTAATTATTTTGAACAGATGTCTTTGTTATAAAATGTAAAAAAACAAAACAACAAAGCAAAACAAAACAAAGAAAACAGGCCACAAAAACCTAAGTAATGCTACCATCTACTCACTTACCTTCAATTAATTTGCACTGAACAGTTATCAAAGAGGTGACCCACACCTTATTATTCTTTACATTTTAATGAGTTTTCCTGACTTCAGTGACTCATGATCAGAATGATGTTGTGGAGTTTCCAAAACCTTTACTCGCTTTTGTGTCTAAAGCCAAAGAGACTTAAAATATTCAGTACACTGCAGAAAATTGGTTCTTAATTTATTTGAAGTTAGGGCAGTTGTTTACAAACCACAAATCTTTTGACATGGCATCGCAAAACAATCACGGAATCATCAAATAAAGCCGGAGTATGAGCATGTCAGTTTTTAAATATATTTGAAAAAGTGTCATATGTTCATTATAAAAGTGTATGAACACATTTTAATGCGAAAGAAAATTGTTTCAAATCGCTCAAGTATGTACAAAGAAAATGAAAGAAAGCAAATTACACATACAGTCAAAACCTGGATTTTTTTCTCTTTTTTTTACACTTAATTACAGAAGAAAAATTACAATTTTTCAAGGTTAAATAAAAAAACCAAATCGATGTGAGGAATCTTTTCATTGTTATTGTTAATTTCACGATGCAATTATTGCATTACGCTGATGCTGTCAAGATACCCTGCAACAGTTTTTAGTGTCTTCACCATTAATCCAAGAAAAATATGTTGTTGAACTGTGTCGCACAAAGCCGCTTAACTTCCTCTGTAGTAAAAAAAAAAAGAAAAAAGAAAAAGGGAAAAAAAAAAAGACAAGGGTCAACTTAAGGAGAAGAGGAGATTACTGGGACAGATGGTGTACTTTTGGTAAGAATGACATACATTTGCTTTATGCCAAATAGGGGAGACGTACCATTTACTTCGATCAGATTGGCGTTCTTCTGATTCAGGATCACGTACAGTTCTCTCTGGTCTGACTTTTTGCCGACTACCCAGTAGTCTGTCATAGCTTTTACGATGATTTCCTCATCTTCGTCAACCCTGAAAGACAGAAAGAACTACATGTTTCAAACGAAGGTGTTCACCACATTCACAGTAGGCTCTTTGTTGCTTGAGAGATCATGTAATGTACCAGAGAACATTTTAACCTACTCAAAACCCCCCAACTTATTACACTGCAGGATTGCAGTGTAATAAGTTGCTTCGAAGACGGAAAAAATGTGGATATGCAGAGATCCCAGGAGTGTCGTAATAAAACTGAAAATTACACGGCTGTGCTGAAACGCTGGGAAAATGAGTTTGTACTTGTACACATCTTCTTTGTTTGATTCTAAAATACACAACTAAAGATGGTCTAATGCTGCTGTGATCACTCTTATTATTATTATTATTATTATTATTATTATTATTATTATTATTATTTATTTTTATATAAACCAAAACTAATCAATTCTTTATCCTCTCTGGTCACCATTAGGAACACCAGCAGTACCACCTAGCTTATCTGTGAACTGTCATTAGAGAACTCTCGAAGAAATGCTTGATGGCACTTAGTAAATATAGCTTAAGTTTCACTAAAGTGTCCTCTGATTTTACCTGGCAAAGTCACAATTGATATCTCCCAGGATCTTCATGAGGTCAGGATGGACAGAGGTGAGGCAAACACTGGCGGTCTTCCTCATGTGGATAGTGCTCTTCTCTGCCAGGTTCATGTGGTTGAAGTAAATGAACTTAAACTGGGGCTCCTTTTCTGGCCTGAAAGTAACAAAAGTAAGCAAAAGTTAAGCAACTTATAAAAAGTGCCGATAAAATGTTAGTATTACAAATTATCCTTTATACCTGATAGTTTAGAGAACCTGGGATTTATGACTTTAAGGTGCCAGCACAGCTTTTCAAAATCTGCATGAAATGTGTGTTACCTTGATATCCAGTAAGATCGGTTAGAGTAAGAGACAAACAAAGTTAAAGAGGCTGGGCCAGTCTCTAAAATCATACTGTTACCAAATGAAGCCTTAAACCAAGGTATCATTTTACTTATCCCTGCTTCATTGGTTACCCACGCTGTGCCAAGTTAATGAGCTGGAGTTTACTTAACAAAAGTGCCTAAACTGCATCTATGGACATGTGTGTGAATGTATTCAAATAGGTGATTTTTATACATGATGTGTGTAATTATTTACCATTGGACGAGGCCAAGCCAGGACACAGACCTGAAAGCTAGCTGATAAATTTGCAGTGGCATTATTTATTGAGTGGATTCTTCACTAGGGTGATTAAAAAGGAGCCCATCAAACTGCCTCGGTCAGGTTTGGATTACCTGCCGGGCCGTGTCTGAAGCTAACTGCTGGGATTAAAGGAGCGTTGACCAGGATGCCAGTCCTTAAAGCTGTACTGCTTGAGTTACCCCTAAGTAGTGACATGATGCTACCCAGTGATATTAAGAGTCTCATCTATCACTGCCAGCCAGGCAGAGCTAATGCTACAGGCCAATGACAAGCAAAGTGGGAAGTGTAATCACCAAGCACACAAATCAATCAGCTTTCTAGTTATAGCAGACTGACTGACAGAAACATGAATGTCATTGATACTTACAAATATGACGCACAAATGACATTAAGGTACGTTATTCTGAAAAGAGACCTGAGACCGCTCTTTTCTAACCTCATTTTCTAATTTTGGAGTTCAGATTGTCTTTAAATATCCTCCCAGTCTTCCTGATACTGTACAAAGGCACAAGTAGAAAAAAACTATTTGATTTATTTTGAATACAGTAATGTGCAAAAGTCTTGTGTTTTTCTACCCAGGTATGCTTTGGCCTTGGGTCTGGGATCACTATCATTGCTGAAAAAATGACACTGGAGCCAATCAAATACTTTCTAGATGGTATTTTATGGTGGACCAAACCTGCTGATACTTTTCTGGACTCCATCAATTTTGGCAAGATCCCCACTGGCAGCAATGAAGCCCAAACCATGATAAAGCCTCCACCAAGCAGACACTCAGGGTTATAGTGTTCACCTGACTCCTCAGTACATACTGATGAAAAGTTGAACCAAACATTTCAAATGTGGATTCATCACTCTAGTTAGTCGCCACTGATTTTCACTCCAGTTCTTTAAAAATGACTTCTTGACATCCACTTGTAAAGTTTCTTCACATTTCTTCATAACACTGCACAAAATCAAACTACTTGGTGCAAAAATACAATTTCATGCATGTCAAACTGTGTTCTCTTTGCCATTTTTGAAGATTTAACTAAGGAATTGGGAAAACGTTGATGTGTTTTTGTGGCAGGCTGCTAGTAACAAAGTATCTAAAGATGCAGTTTTATATGTTATAATATTACAAGAAAGTCTGGCTGCTTGGAAGCAAAATATAATAAATAAATAAGGGGTGGCTCAAGATTTTTGCACAATACTGTAAGCACACAAATTGTCCTTCAATGTCGTAAACATATAATA